GCGTACAGACGTGGAAAACTTCCCCAAACCCTTTAAGCTCCACTGAACTCACGTGGACTCGACAGTACAATGGATGAAATGTACTGCAAAATACTGTGCTTCGGCAAATGATTTCAGTGCTTCAGAATCATCCGTGTGCTTTGCTGCTTTGTCTGTTTTTCCAATACAAGTAGGTGTTTTATCAAAATAAAAACTGTGGATAAATGAATAAAAATGAGCATAATAATGGATGCACGTGAGAAATTTAATTTGGCACTTCTCAGGGTTATTACTGAGTAAAAATGCAACTATAAAAATTGTTATTTAAAATAAAATAAATGTTAACTTAAAGTAAAAAAAAAATTATATATATATATGTTTAGTTTAAGTTGAAGTACTAAAATAAGCTGCAAAAAATGATTTTATTACTTAGCATTTTTTGTCTTGTTTTTCAGCACAAATATCTAAACATTATTAAATAAAGATACATTTACTTGAAAAGCAAAATGACAAGATTTTGTTTTCTGAAAAACGTATCAAAATTAAGTATGTTTTCACTTAAAAAGAGAAAACATATCTGCCATTGCCAATATTTTGAATTCGATTTTTACATGTTGTTTTCAATTTAATTAAAGATTTGTGTTGTTCTTGTCATTTTTATTAGTTGTTTTTTTTTTTAATGTCTGTACATTTTTTATTCATTTTGTCTTAGTTCTAGTTTTAGTTTCACTGCAAAAAAATATTTTTCTTACAGATTTTTGTCTTGTTTTTAGTGCAAATATCAAACGTTCTTAAATAAAGGTGTGTTTACTTGATTGTCAAAATTTTAAAAAGAACTACATTTTGTGAATTGTTTATTAAAACAAGAAAAAAATTTTTTTCTTGTTTTAATAAACAATTCACAAAATGTAGTTCTTTTTAAAATTTTGACAATCAAGTAAACACACCTTTATTTAAGAACGTTTGATATTTGCACTAAAAACAAGACAAAAATCTGTAAGAAAAATATTTTTTTGCAGTGAAACTAAAACTAGAACTAAGACAAAATGAATAAAAAATGTACAGACATTAAAAAAAAAAACAACTAATAAAAATGACAAGAACAACACAAATCTTTAATTAAATTGAAAACAACATGTAAAAATCGAATTCAAAATATTGGCAAACGGTGAAATAACACCGGCACTTCTTAAACCTCTTGTTACAAACTAATCTGAAGGTTTGGCTTCAGTTTCATGAAGGACAGGACGAGTTTGTATTCATACGAAATGATAATGCAGATAGAAAGACCCTCGCGTGAAACACATCAGCAGGTTTTTAACTATAACTAGTGCAAATTGTCATGATTAAGAAACGTTTTCGAGCAAGCGGCTTCATCAGCGCATGGATGGAGTGAATAAATAACACTCAGAATCAGAATAATGCAGTGAAATGATTGCAGGGAGACAGATATTTGATGAAGCACGCATGGGTAGGCCGTTAGCTCATCAGTGTCTGTGCATCCACAGCGTTCAAGCGCAGGCAGCATGGCAGAATTGCATGGTTTTGGTCCTTTGGGATCCTGGAGGGAGCGTCTTTTTAAAGGAGAAACGTCTCGTATGCTGGCATGAAGGTTTAGAGGTCAGGTTCGGTCTTTGAGACCCAGATTCGCACGCAGTCGATGACCAGATAAAGACGTGCCCGTTGAGAGACGCTCACTATTTCTGATTTCTGAATATCTACTGTACACACAGAAGAGGAACATCTGTTACAAAGATGGCAATGGATCTCCGGTGGTCAGATCTTGAGGTGAATACTTGTTTTTAAGGCCTGGTCACGAAATTAAAACAGCACAAAAACATCTGAAACGGATGCCGTATTTCTAAACGTATGGAAATTGTTGAGCTTCATCGTGAAGTGAGCTAGCCATCTCAGGCTTGTGTTTTAATAGTTTTCTCAATTATTTCTGCTCCAGATTTGAAGATTAAGCTCATCCAGAACAGATATATAATGCTGTATGATCTGACAGACTGAGAGGCATGCAATCCAATCTAAATAATCTCAGAATTCTCCTTTAAAGTCAACATGAAATCCACCCTTTTTATTGAATTAATACATGTTTCTGGACTCATTTTCAATGAAACGACTTTACTTCTTTTAGCCGTCAAGCCCTCCTGTTTTCATAGAGAATCAATTTTACTTCAAAAATACTTTTTTCAAAACAGAAGTAAATGGGGTTTCAAATGAAGGTTTCATGTTGACTAAGTAAATATATTGGTAACACTTTACCTGAATCCTTTATATACTGTATAATGCATTCTAAAAGTATTTTAATGCATTAATTATGGCTTGTAATGTACCTTATAAAGCATAGTATTATCTCGTAAAAGTGATATGATCCGTAAGTCTTGGCAATTTATGTTTTTACATTACTGTAACTCATAAAAATAACTTCCAAAATCAAAATTTTACATTTCAAATTTTCTAAATTTCACATTTTCAAAATTTCAATTTTCAAATTTTCACAATTTACAAATTTCAAATTTTCAAAATTCAAATTTTCAAAATTCAAATTTTTAAAATAGGTTATATGAAATTCAATTTTTTTTTAAAGGTAATTTTAATGTAATTTAAGTTGAAATTATTTGTACAACCAAGGTGATTATACCTAAAAAAAAAAATGTAGGCAGCAACTGAACGTAAGTTTTTAAGTTGAAATAGGTGGAATTTTTTAAAAGCGTAGTTATATTATTAAATATTTTTTGTTACTCCTTTAGATATTACAACACATTGCAACATGACAAACAACCATTTGATTCAGATTCAACAAGCAATCTGTAAATATTATAATGCATTGCTATTTATGAAAATACATACACTGCAAAAAAAATAAATAGTATTAGTATTTTTCTCTTGTTTTCTATAAATATCTACAAATTCTTGAATCAGGATGCATTTACTTGACTTAAGTAAAATGACTTAAGATATTATGTCTTGTTTTCTGAAAAACTTTTGTCAGTTTTTGCTTAAAACAAGTAAAAATATCTGCCAATGGGGTAAGAAAAATTATCTTAATTCAAAGGCTAAACAATATATATATTTTTTACCCCATTGCTAGATATTTTTGCTTGTTTTAAGCAAAAACGAACAAAATATGGATAATATTTTCAGAAAACAAGACATAATATCTTAAGTCATCTTACTTGTCAAGTAAATGCATCCTGATTCAAGAATGTTTAGATATTTATACTAGAAAACAAGACAAAAATACTAAGGAAGAACATCATTTTATAACATACGTATCTATATAATTAATGCATTATACATAAAGGCTTCAAGTAAAGTGTTACACTGCAAAAAATGATTTTCTTGCTTAGATATTTATACTAGAAAACAAGACAAAAATACTAAGAATTCTTGAATTAAGATGCATTTACTTTACAAGTAAACTGACTTAAGATATTGTCTTATTTCCTGAAAAAAAAAATAAAAATCAAAATGATGTTAGTTTTTGCTTAAAACAAGCAAAAATATCTCCCAATGGGGCAAGAAAAATAATCTTGTTTAGCCTTTTAAATTAAGATAATTTTTCTTACCCCATTGGCAGATGTTTTTGCTTGCTTTAAGCAAAAGGATTACAAAATTTTGATATTTTTTTCAGAAAACAAGACAAAAATCATTTTGTGCAGTGTACCAAGTGGATTCTGTGAGTGTGAGCGATATGATCAGTTCATTTAGATTTACACTGGATCTCAGCACAGATCACGTCTGATAGATGTGCAGCGAGATCACGAATCAATCAAAAACCTCAGCGTTTCCGTTTGTGGTTCATCTGGCAGTTTCAGTAGCTATCGACCTCCTCGTCCTCCTCCGTTTCGTCTCATTAAAGTCTGAAGTTCAGAGACGAGCGTCTGAATCTTTCTCTCCGAGTACAAAAAGCCACGTCCGATCGTCTGTCCATTTACTGTGGATTGTCACACGAACACAAAGGCTTCTGGGATGCGTTCCGCTCGTCTTTCTGTCGAACGGTGGAATGGAGAAAGAGCACAACACGATGAACGATACGATCCAGCGGCCGGAAAGTTTACTATACGTCTTCCTTACTTCTGTACAAGTTCAAGTATTATCTTCGCTAATAAAAATAAATACAAAACATGAAAAATGAGCAACTCTACTCCTATATTCTACATTTCTAATCTACGTCGGTGCAAGAAACAGCTACCAGAGCAAACGTTTTGTCGTCGTCACACGGGCCGCCAGATTTACGTTCTTCTACTGTTAACGTTAGTGATCTTATACTTGCAGCTACAAGGTAAGAGTTTTTGATTTTTTATATATATATATATATATATATATATATATATTTATATCTTTTAAAAAGCGTGTAGTCCTTTGGTCCCTATTTTCTAAGGAATGATGCATGTAGATATTCCTGGATTCTCGTCCAGAGCGCAGATCATGCGATACCAGTGTAGGCACGAAAACCAAAAATGGCAGCAGGCTGGTGTGTGTGTGTGTGTGTGTGTGAGTGTTTGTGAGTGTGTGTGTGAGTGTGTG